AGTTAAATTATTTTTTATTTTTAAAGGAAGGAGACGGTCCTGGTTGGCGGTCATAAATAGTGGTAAAATTATTTTATTAAAAGCCAACGTTTCGACCCGACTTAGCTGATCTTCTTCAGGGAAGTGTGTTCAGCTAGCAGTTTCACTTAGAACTGAATGAGTTACGTGAAGTGAAGTGAAACTCCTAGCTGAACACACCTCCCTGAAGAAGACCTGCAAAGTCGGGTCGAAACGTTGGCTTTTAATAAAATAATTTTACCACTATTTAGCCCATTTATGACCGCCACTCCGGACCATCCAATTTTTTATTTTTGTATAGTCGGTTTTTTTTTTTTTTAAACACCTATTTTATGAATTAGCAGTATACTCCAGTGAAGACTCATATTAGCTATATAAAATTCTTAAGATTGTCTTTTCAACATACAAAGATGGTGAAGCTCCATTTCTTAGAACGTCTGTCAAAGCAACAAATTACTTAATAAGTGATCAGCTTGTTCCACTGAAAAATATCCCTCCGGTTTAATAGTTGATCAAAAAGATGCAGCAATCCTAGAACTAGAGATTGCCATCAATAACATCTACTTCGATATTATCCACTATCGATATAGTCCTTTCGATATTTTAATTTAAAAATTAAAATTATCGCTTTCTGATAGCGCTAGGAATTATATATGGACCTGATTGTGGTAAAAAAAATTGAGAGGGGATTAAGTTTTTCAATTTTTTGGTCGGTTACAATGGTTGATTTTTGAAAATAATAAACCAAAAGTATATAAAAATCGCAATATCTCTACTAATAGTTCTTTGATTTCGATGAAATTTACTTCATTTTGTAGGAAATTTAAATACTTTTGAAACATCTTATAACAATATCCAGAAAAAAAGTGTATACTTTTTGAGTTATTCGGAAATAAATTTTATCATTCTTTGTAACTTTTTTTCCCAGCTTCTTTTCGTTGAAGTATGTTATATAGATAAATTTAAATGGCGTCAAGAAAATGACTTGAGCGAAGTTTCATTGAAATCGGTAGCGTTTAGGAGCTACAGTCTGTAGCAACGCTGGTTTTTCGGTCGCGATTTTGAAAGTAAAAGGCGGATAGTAATGTCGATGAAGGAGGATCATCCTCGTTTTACTTCTGATTTTATATCCAAATTTGAAAAAAGTCGGTGCAGTAGTTTCGGAGAAAATGCGCGGACGGCGGGCGGACAAAAAATTTGTATTCATTTTTCGAATTCTATGCACCCTGAAACGTGAAACCTCAAATTTTGGGAGGGATTTAAGTTTTGAATTTTTTGTTCGATCGACAATGGTTGATTATTGAAAATAATAAATCAATATATACTTATCTTGCCTGTTTCATATTGAATCTAGTGCGCAGTAGAGGAAAATATCAATATTTCGATAATTTCGACTATCGGTGGACATCCTTTAGTAGAGTTGAAAAGCACGCGTGGGATTCTTCTCACCCACAATTAAACGCAATTAGTCCAAATTTGTTTGAACCTCCTCGAATTAAGGTCACAAATTGTCAAAGAAATCTATGTACGATGCAAATTTATTACCATTTCGCTGTATTCGATCTGTGGGTGAATGGAAGGCATAATTGGTTGAATGGAAATTTCTTGAAATAAGCTGAAGATGGACAGGAACTAGATAATTAATTTTACTGAGGAGGGTAGAAGAGTTGATATTTCCATTATTTAATTTGAAGAGGAAAATAACATATTTTTTAAGCGCCTTTCTGCCGGAGAATTAACATTTATATTGATATAAATATTTCATAAATGTTTATGAAAATATCGACTATCTGTATTTCAATCCCGATATTTTGATGTATCAATAGTTATAGGCCGATATTAATATTCCGTAGCATATCTTCTCCAGCGGTGTACACTCCAAGTCCAACCTAAGATCAAATACTCGCATTCCAGTTATACGTTTTACAAATTTTCATTTCGATATATCATTTCTCTAAGTTTTGGAAACTGATTTTGTTTCTGTCATGATTTGATCATAATTAACAAAGTTATGGGTGTTAATAAAATAAATTTCATTGGTTTTATCTAACTAATGCTTGTTTTTCGAAGTAATTAAATAGCTATAACTTAGAAGTAATGGTTCAAAACGATTATTGGGAAAACATAATGAAAAAAGCTACATAGAGAGCATTACATCTTGGTCTTAAGCCTACGAAAAAAAAAATTAAAACGTAAATATAATGCCCATAGAACAAAATGTACGCATTTTTTATTTTCTCTTCTGAAAATTTTTAGTTTTAGTTCATACAGGCTTTTGCAGTGTGGCTGTCTACATGCCATAATAATTTTATTGAGAAGAAGCGTCTTTTAATTTCGATTATATAATTGCTTCAAGATATAATTACGAAATATCGTTAAAACAATGCTTTATTATACAGAATTTTTCTTTGTAAAGTCAAGGCTTCTGTAAGAATGAACCGTTCTTGGTATTTTCCTTCCTGACGAATATTTAAGAAGAAAGTTGTTGAAAACATTAAATCCCAATTAGGGCTAATTGCAACCTGCTCGCTTCCTCAGAGCCATGGAATCTTTTCCAAGGAAATGACGGGACTTTTAAGGGGAAGAAACTTTTAAACTTCTTCCGTCATAATTCACAACAATTAAAAGCCGGTGGACCAGTAGGCCGCAACATTATTCTCGTTTCCTCAGTTGTTTTGTCTTTTTGTTTCCTTTGTGGAAGTGCTAACTCTTTCAAATTAGTCTGAAAGAAACTCCCCTTCGTTATAAGTTTCAAATGACTGCGTTTCTCTCCAAAATATGAACTCTAACGGGAAAGAAAGTTAGCATTGAATACAAGATGCTTCAGTTATAGTATATACTTATCATTGTGTCTTAAAACTTTTTAATAAACTATAAATTTATTTCCATTCATAAATACAGATTTTTACTTCCACTTACCTTGTTTTGTCGTTTCTGTTCTCCCCTTCCATGCCTTTTCGGCTATGTAAGATTTCCCCAGGTCAGGGAATAAAGCCGGGGATTAATGTCAGAGTTAAAAGTCCCTCCCCCCCCTCGACACCGATAAGCGAAGTCGTAATTATTCAGTTTTTAACCCGATCGGCCACCCCACCTCCTTTCACTTACGTATAAATGAAGTGTATATAAAGAGAAAGTACAGAGATCGTCAAAATTTTTCAGTTTTAAACGGAAGTACACGTGGTGAGCTCTCCTGAGTCCATTCTCGCATAATGATCTTTGTGTGTCTGTATGTAGGCATGTAAACAGTTAGCTCTAAAACAAAGAGTCGTCAAAAACAAGTGGTCTTTAATATTAAACAGTGATCAAATATTTTCACGATCGCAATACTTCCCCTTACTAGCTTAGTGAATAGAGCTAAGTGAAAGTAAAAATGGTTAAATATAAAGAATGAAAACATACAATTTTTTATTAAAAGAGAAATAAGGATTAATCAGATGCTTTGACAAGAGGGTGTGCCGGAAACAGCTGAGAGCACCTGATATTTTCCAACCCCTTCCTTTTATAGATAACCGATTCCACTCTACTGTTAAAGGTTTTCTGATTGTTGTTTAGCAGTTATATTTCACTTACCCGTAATTTAAAAAAAATATGTTTGCACGTAATGTTGAGAATCTAATATTCACCTATAGTGTACAGCATAAACTCCTTTTTTGAAAGAGTTTTGTGATGGATGTTTCTCATAAACCACAAAATTTGTGTAAAAAATCCCTTTTTATGCCTAAAGTCAGTAATACTATTAGATAATAAATACAGCCATAAAAGGGAATGGAAAGTGGGGCAAACATTTATATTGAATGTATTCCATATGTGGGAAAAACATGGTCATTAATTGTTTCAAATTAATATGTTATACCTCTATGATTTTTACTTTCACTTCTCTCTCTCTCTCTCTCTCTCTCTCTCTCTCTCTCTCTATATATATATATATATATATATATATATATATATATATATATATAATGCGCACACCACACCAGCTTTTTTCATTTCTTGTTAATAAAAGTTGTAAAGTTTTGACCGGTGATAGAAGTCATATATCAAGTTCATTTATTAATTAATTATTTCATTTATATTTAATTAATTTTCTAGTTCCTAATAATATATCTTTTTAGTTATACATGATAATATTTCTAAAGATATTTTATTTTAGTATTTCATTCATTCTACTACTTCCATAATTTTTATTTACTTATTTATTTGTTTTATGTTTAGGGTATTTAACTGATATTTTCTAGTTTTTGATTTTCTAGTTACTAATAAACTGTGCTAATCCATTATTAAGTTAATTTAAAAAGTAGGTTTCAAAATTGATAAGACGAGAATAGAAATCAGTTATAATAACATTAGAAATCCAAAATTACAACATAAAATAATTGTAAACTTAAAAAGATAATAAAAATAAAATATTTCTCGTTCTTTGAAACCACCTAAATGTTATCATGATTAATTTAATAACGTACAATGATTATACATTTTTTTTTTCCTTTTGTGGGCCCAAGACTCCCACTGAAGTCCAATACTATATAATTGTACATCCATATTATACATTAAATTACATTTTACAATTTTATCACCTGTTGATTTAATTAACTTCTTGTACTTAACTTAATTAATTTAATTGTAAAGGCGCATTTAGACATTTCACCAACAATGGAACAAACAAATATACAAATGGTTATTTCCCAATGTTTGTATTGTTATTTATTTCTTTTTGATATTTTCCATCAGTCATCGGTATGAAGAGGAATGAAATAAATAGTTTGGTTTAATAATAATGTCACTGTTAGTTAAGTTTTATGCTCTTCTTTTTGTGCTCTATATTTGTTTTTAAATTTATTATCCTTGAAAATTTATTGATTTCTCTCATCATTGCTTAGGCTCTTTTAAGATTAAATTTTACTCAACGTTATGTTTAAAACCAATTTGAAAACACAATTATATGTTTATTTATTTTTTATCTTATTTGTTGTTTTTAGGATATGTATACACCTATCCATTTCTTAGCAAAGACTGTGGTATTACTGTGGATGAAAACTATGTTTCTCCTCTTTATAACAGTACTATCAACATCCATCATCAAACGATGGCCCTTTTAGGAATATTTAAAATCACTCCAATATTCTATATGACTGATCTCCAGGTAAGATTAATAAGTAAATCAGTAAAATTAATACAAATTAATCTTAATAAGTCATGAAATGAATAAAAAATTAGACCATAGTGTAAGTTTCTATTTCTTTCATTTATAGATATTATTTTCTGAGATCTTTATCATATTTTAGGTGAGATATTTTCTCAAAACTTTGATCCAACCAGAATTGTTACCTAGTAAAGAATTGATGCTTAAAGAACTCAGGATGGAAGAACAAACTTTCAAAGAAAATGGTGTTAGAAAGGCAGACTACCACAATTTGGGAGAAAGGAATCCAGCATACATGCAGAAGTTATGCAAGGCTGCTGGACTTACACCTATGCCTGAGATCTTGCTGCGTATATTCTTTCATGGATATGATAAAATATTCTCAGATTTCAAAAATTTTAGAAATAATTTCTACAGAATCATTGATGAAGATAATTTTACAGTTGTGGACCTCCGAGAAATCACGGCAAAACCAGTCGAACATGTTCATAATAACCCGTCATGTCACTGTGGTACGATTGATAGTACTAGAGAAATTTATTAATTTTCTCAATTTTATATCTATAAAGTGATGTAAATAAAATAATAATTCTAGGTTTTAGACTATTTAATGACCAATATTACAAGGCTAGAAATTCTGTTATATAATTTGAGTTCTAGTAACACTTTGTCAGTTTGTTAATTTATATTATAACTAAGGGCCGAATTTATATGTAATAAAAACATGAATGTATATTTATATTTGTTTAATTTATTTATAGTTGTGTAATGTAATCAAATTTGACAGTATGCATAATGAAATTCAATTTTTAATAATAATAATATCAATGTCTAACAAAGCTGAAGGTTAGGTGCAAGTAAAATTAAAACTCATTGCCTAAAAACGTTCCTTTAATTTACCACAACAAACGATCAGACCCAACACTATCCTTCTATTTGTATTAAAATCTTCTCTAAAGAGTTTTTTATGTTAATTCAGTGATCATAATTACCCTTTTAGAGCTCAATATATTATTACATTTAATATTTTTAATATTAAAATTGTTATGTCTTCTAAATGATTGACACCATTTAAATATCAAAATTTGATCAGTCTTTATCCGTTTTGCTCTTTCAAATGTAGTAAACAAGATGGCAACAAAAATTATTTATAAGTGTTTTTTAGGATTTCATAATAAATCCTATTAACTTTTATTTTAAAATGTATAAGTCATTTGTTTCAAATCCAGTGAAATATACGAAATCCAAATATGTTTTTCAAAAAATACAAAATTAGCTTCCAAATATTACTATCTTAATGTTACATGATTTTTTTTAAATGAAATCACAAAAAGATTATAAAACACATAGACACACATATAAATCCACTCCTAGCTATAAAGAACAAAACAATAGTTATAAGAAAAAGATATCTAGTTAGAGAGTTGTAATAGATGAAGAAATAAATCCATTAAAATTAACATTATTGTGAAGTATTATAACAACGACCACTTCTATTGGAATGTATTAACGTAATGTTAATAGATCAGTTTATTACTTATTCCATTTATGGTTTCCTATAGATTGATAGAATTAAGTTTAATAACATTTTTGTAAGGTATGACCAATTTTACTTTTTTACTTGTTTTATATTAACTAACATGGTTTTTGCAATCATTAAGAGAAACTAAAATGCAAATTAATTAATATTTTTCAAACAGAAACTATATAAATTATTTGATTTATCATAATTGTCGTAAATTAATAAAAATAAATGTCACAGCTTAATGTAAGACTAGGCCGCTTGTGAACAGTAAATTGCAATAAATAATTCTGAATGACTGGTTTTTTAGTCCTGATTTTATAATTGGATGTACAATTTATTTTGATAATTGTATAATTCAGATGTCGGCAAAGCATAGCCAAACTTTTAAATAATTACCTTACCAATAAGAACAATTATTAATTAATTCTAAGAATTAATGTATTTAAATTATGAATTACTACTTAATTTGTAAATATAATTTATTTTAATTTTTAGTTCATTAAATTTATCAATTGGTGTAAAGTACTGATAAGTAAATAAAATATTTTATACAACTGTGGTATTGTTTTTAATCTGATACAATTTAAAAGCAAATAAAGTATCTTCTGTTTCACATATTTCGATCTTACATATTTTTTAATATTTAGTGTATTTATACTTTTATATATGTATGATATTATATATATGATATAATTTTATATATGTGTATATCTATGTATACATGTATCATCATTCTTTTTCAGTCCACAAAGGAAATTCCTATTTAAAATAAAAAATTAAGAATACATTGAAGAAAAGTATCTTAACACATGAGCTAGGCTCCTGAGCCAAAAACTCTTTCAAATTGGATCTATTGTGAAGTTACAAAGTAGTTTCCCTTTTTAATTTAATTTTTAATATTTTTTACATTGCACTTGAAGATAAATGCTAGTTAAGTTACTTTGTTTAATCTGTTAAAAACCAAAAGTCAAATCAATCTCTAAAGCCATATTGTCAACATACATTCATGTATTATCCAATGAAACTTTTGAGAGAGATAATTATGTTTTGTTTTGCCATAATTGTGTAAAATATTGACAAGTCAATGATTTTTGGGATAATAAACATATTTCAACTCAGTTATCATCACAAATTCATCATCATTATAAAGCTGCCATAAAAGCTACTTCTACTTTTGGTTTCTTCTCAGGACATTCCACAGCTCAACAAGACACAATTCAAGATGATTGTTGATCACATATCCTCCCCACTTGAAAACAAGCAATATTGCACCAGTGCCTTTCTGGGCGTAGCTCAGGCTTTGGACGGGTTTGGCTTGATGGCTTGCTTTTCAAACTCAAAATCCATTTGCCCCAATCCTTATATTTAATCCTTAGATCTGATCTTTTCAATTGTTCCTTCCAGGGCTGTTCTTGCTACTGAACAGAAATTCACATATTTCAATTTAAAACAAACTACTAATACACAAGACCACACTGAAACCCATCTGGATCTATTGACTCGAACTGTAGGGGACAGCTAATTCTTTGAACATGAAACACTTCCAATCCTTTCAACCCAAAGTTCTTCGAACAATAGTCAATGCTCCATACTATGTCTCAAATAAAACCCTACATCATGATCTCAACATCCCATTTGTCCTTGACCTAATTCCATCCAGATTTTATAACGTCAATCAAAAACTTATCCATCATCCTAATCCCTCCCCAGCTCCAACAATCCATATAATTCTCCACGAAGGTTGAAACGGCAATGGCCCCGAGACCTTTGTAAATACGCTATTTGAGATCTGGCAGTGGCTAGAACTAGCTTCTCCGCTCAAGTCCTCAGTGTATATGGCGTTAGCATTCTCACTCATCCTCCATTTACTTTCAAACAGTGATGCAACTGGGAGAGAAGCGCTGGGATCTCTTTGAGCTCTGCTTTGCCTTTCACATGACAGCGGCAAAGCATGTTTCAGGGTTCACCAGGCTGTACATAAATATTGTAAATATGTATGACAAGTAATTTATTTTTTTTTTTTATGATCCTTTTAATGTATTTTTCTTTTTCTTTTTACAAGTATTGTATATTTTTGTTATTATTATATTGTATATAGTTTTTACTTAGATGTTTTCTTCTTATTTCTTTTTTCTCAATTTGTATATAATAGTATGAATGTACACTAAAGCCTTACTGCCCAATACCCTTGATTGTGGCAGATTGTATTATTATTATTCCAATAAATAAAAAAAAAAGGACTTTCAGTTAAATATTGGAAGTTAAAATATTGAAACTTTATCGATACAACATTGTGTTTGAGAAAAAAAATTATACTTGTGATACTATTATGAGTATATTATGAGTAAGTGCTGACTTTCGCAACAGGTCAGAGAAAAGTGTAAATCCAAAAGAGTTGATGGAATTAATTTTATATTTGTACAAATTAAATATATTGTAATGTTTTAAATTAATGTTGCAGGAGTTTTGTTTCAACTTTAGAAATTATTTAGAATTTTTCCATCCTTTGAAATTGTTGGAAAGTTTTGTTTCCAACTATTGACTAGATTGGGATGTTTTATTCTAACTATATCAAATGTTAGGTGATTTTGGATTTTGCCTTCCAAAAAAAATATTTTATTAATCATTTTTCTATACGATTTTATTAGTCTCACAGAGGTTTGGACCTACGCAAGTTTTTAATTCAACAAGAATTCAAGTTCTTAACTAGCATAGATAGAGACCAGCAAACCTAATATTGAAACTAATTATATTTAATCCATCCCCTTAAATTATTACTGATTTTAAATACTAACTTATGTGTAAGTATTGTTAGACCTTTTATTTATTTTTTAATTAGTGTTCAGGATATCTATTCTTCATATTTCTCATTTTTTGTTACATATTTGTGAAAATATAATTACTTAAATATGTACTTTATAAATCTGGTCATCACTAGTTCTTTCATTTTTTCTTTCTTTTTTTTTTTTTAAATATTTCTATCCATAAATACAATAAATTCAAAGGCAATATATTACAATCACATGTGATTTCTACAAATAATTGTTCTACTACAAAAAATATCTATTTTATCCACATTTGTTCTGAGACTTGCATTTATTTATTTATTTTTATTCCATTATAATGTTGTTGTTTTTATGTACTTTTCAATAGTTAAATGTTATCTATGATCTTTATATCTAAAAAGGGTTGAGGGAATGATAGAAGTCAAGGAAATCTTTCAAAACATCACACCTTAATGATTCCTTTCAAACAACATTGACATATTTTTATTACATCAAATACAATTAATAATATAATAATAATATTAATAACTAAAAAACACAAATTTAAAATAACAATACAAGTCAAAATTTATATAAAACATTTTTCCTGATTTATTGATTAGTCACTGAGCACGGAAGCTATTGTGATGTAGACAAATACATTATCTTGTTCTCATTATATAATCAGGAGAAAAGGTCAATGATCCATTTAAATACATAAAAATTAATTTTTTTGTTAAATATATTTAATTTTTTAACACAGAATTAAGTTTAAATATGAAATGTAACTATTAAAGTATAATTTAAAAATATGATCTCTACATTATGTATAATATTTACTAATTAGTAATTATAATTTTTGAAATGCTTTTATGATAAGTGGCATTCTTAGTTGACACATTCGTGGTGATATACATAGAGGCAACACTTGCTATCCTACTAAATAGTCTTAACCATAATTTAAATCAGTCTTTGTTTATGATAAAACATTATTTACAAATATTTAGAAATTTATAATACTCACATAATATTTATTAAAACAATATATGTAGTAATCCTATTGACAAAAGTTTCAGATCATTAAATTTTTTGTAATTCAATCAATGACTATTCATTTGTTTCCAGAATAATTTAGTGTATTGTTTTCTGCTACTTTAAAATGAATACAAATTGTAAATAAAAATAAATAACAGTAGTTCAAATTGATTTACTTCTAAAACCTGATTTTCCGGTATAACATATTTTAAACATAATATCTAACTCATTTTAAATAACACTAAGATTCTGACAGAAGAAGGTGCAGTCCAAAAAGAGTACATATCTCAAGAAATTCTAAAATGAGATTTCAATTGAATTTTTTTTTATCTCTAACTCTATTTAAATTCAAGACAACATAATCCATGGGCGTCATGGATAATTTAATGTACAGAGATATTATATATAAGCTACATTGGATTGGGATATTTAAAATCAACTAATCACACGTAATACTTTTTCTTCAAATAGCAAAGTAAGAAAATGGGATAATGAAATCCCCCATTTAAAGATGGCATATACCTTTTGGAAAAGCACCTTCTCAAAGAATATTACGTTTAAGAAACTGGTCAGTTGAATTCAAATGTTATTTATATACTTTTTACAAATTATCAAGGAGAAATATATTAATTCCATACAAATTTAATAAAATTGAATAAATTTGGATATTTGATGTTGAGACCTTATATGAAAAGGATGCTATCGCATGCAAAATAAAAAATAAAGTTCTTTACTAAATTATTTTACTTCAATGAATTATATTTATATCCGATTTTTTAAAATAAATTAATAACGGGCTAAAAGATAAAGTAAAGTAATCTGAAGTGTTCAATCAAACCAAAATAAGTTTGCATCAATACTAAAACACGTGAAAAGTAATTAAATTAAAATTTATAATACTACTCAAATATTTTAATAATTACTGTTTAAAGATTATGAGAGTACTTCACTAACTCTAAAATATTAATAATTCTACATTAAAATTAAATTACAAAGTGATGACTTAGAATCACCGATTTCTCTATCAAATAACTAACCTATCAATATTATTTTTTTCTGAGTATTTGATTTAATTTTCTGAAACTTTCTTTTACTTATCCTTTTCATCTATCTTGTGTATTTCGTAGTTTTCGTTATCTATAATTTTGTATACATAGTTTCTAAATCCTTTAAAATCTTTTATGGCTCTGAAGAAAGCATCATGAAACAGCTTGAACATTACAGGTTCCACTTGATCTAAATTTCCGAGCTTGGCCAAATCGTCCATGTACTGTTGAGTTCTAACTTTGCTCAATTTATGATAATCCTTCTTTCTCTGCCCTTCTGAACTCCTAAGTGCTATGTCGGATTCAAGATCAGCCACCATTTCTTCTTTTGATGGTATTTTACTTTCTCCAAGTAAAATGTTTAAATATGCCCTGACCTGGAAATCAACAAAAAAAACTCTGTAAGTTGTTGCTTATTTATAGATCTTTTAATTTGAACAATATGAAATAAATTACTGAAATTTATAAACAAACTTTTGACAGCTGTAACATTCTGATGAAATATATTTTAACGCCTCAACTTTGAATCATGTGTTCTGAACTATGATACTAAAATGTACTTCTCAAGATGAATACATAATGCTTATATTACAAACTTCTAAATGAAGTATGGAGAGTAAACATAAATAACCCCACCTTTATCACTTCTTAAACAGCATGTGCTGACAAACTGAGACATGTCTCAGAGACCAAAATCCCGCAACATGTCTACTAGTGTGGACTACAAAAAGTATGAAACCACAAAAATATTTGGCAAACTTATTATAACAAATGAAGCCAATTTACAGTTTAATAAATGTTCTTTTTAAAAAAAAAAATTAATTTAAATACTTGCAAATGGAATAGGAATTAAAACTTTTCAAAATGAATATATACCTGATAGTCCACCATGTATTGATGAGGACAATACTTAGGGAGGCCAACGATGCACATGGTCGGGCGTTCAATGTTTATAAGGTGTTTATACAAAGGCCCTACATACTGGTCAACTATTATACCACAATCCTCTGTGAGGAATGGGAAATTGTAAGTGTAACCTGAAATAGATCAATATTTCATTTAATAATATATTTAGGCATATTATTTAAATAATATTATAATAACAAACCATTTATAATATAAAAATAATTTGTCGTATATATTATGATAATCAAGTTGCAAAATAAGGTTAATATATTATTTATCAAATGCATTATTATGGAACTTATGACTTAATGGTTGTTATATAAAGCCTCTGATATGAACCAAAATCCACCTTAGTTAGATGGACATAAACAGGGCCGGTCTAACTATGATAAAGCCTGGGGTGAGAGAGGGCAGTTGTTCCAGGTGGAAAAATCTAGAGGGCGACAAATTTCGAGCAAACATTTTCTTGTTAGCTTGAGGAAATTATATTTATTTACATTGCTTTGGTAGAGTTTTAATTCTGTAGTAAGAGAGTTGTCTTTAATACATTATACATATCAACTATGCCCCTCATATTTCAATCTTAAATATAAACAGTAACATCAACTATAACAACAGTCATTAATAATCAAAATATCACTTTTGCTAAAGAACGATCATTTTTATTCTCTGTATACAGGATATCCAATATTAACTACACAAAAATCTCTCTCTCTCTCTCTCTCTCTCTCTCTCTCTCTATATATATATATATATATATATTATATATATATATATATATATATATATATATATATATATGTGTGTGTGTGTGTGTGTGTATATATAAAAAAAAACCTAAAAGTGCAAAAAAAAAATTTCTTTTTTTCCCCAATAGATTGATTATTCACATATACTGAGTTAGTTAATTCTGCAAACTGACTGAAAAAGTGGTATATTTTTTTAAAAATTTATTGGGCCCATTCCAAGAAAAAAACACAGATAGAAACATTTTTTTTTCAATTTTATAAAATTGGGATAAAACATTGCATCAGATTGAACTTAAGGAAACTATATTTGTTACTCCTTCTTGGTTGATTTGGCTTTAATTTATTCAATAAAATGAGTTAATGTTATGAGGTTATGATATTTATTTTAAAATATATTATCTGAAATATCATTATAAAACCTTAACTTTTATTGAAGAGGGGAAAGGGATGACAAATAATCGTGGCCTCACTGGTCTAAACCTTAGTTCAGACCCTAGATATAGGTTCACTCTTACTTAATGATTGTGCCTTGAATGCTCTCGGAATCTAGATGATCATTGATTTATTCTTCAACTCTAAAGTTGCTCATTAAAGACTAGTATTACCTGTACAATAGATCACCACGTCAACTTCTTCTGTTGTTCCATCAGCAAATGTAACAGTCTTATCAAAAAGGGATGCAACTTTAGGTTTTAATATCACATCCTGAGGAAATTCCATATCTGGAGTTTTTGTTTTGTTGTGGCTCAGAATTACCTATAATCAAAATGAGAAAATCAATTTAGAGTTGCATTAACTAATTAATTAAATTATGTGCAATTATTAGTGACTAAAAACTATTAATATTTTTCTGTTCATTAGGATTTAACTATTCATAACATTAGACTATTTATGTGTCAACAGACTTATTATCAATAGTACCTGTTTTGCTGTTTTGGCCAGTTGATAAGTGATGTCCAAACCAGAAGGTCCAAGACCTACAATCAAAACTCGTTTTCCTGTGTATGTTTCTGCTCTTCTATAATCTCTGGAGTGAATTTGTTTACCACTGAATTTAGCAATGCCTTCAATTAATGGATAGACCGGTACATTGTTTGGCCTGTGTAAAACATAAATAAAACATTTTAACTAACTTTAATCACATAATATTTAACTTTTAAGTTCTACAATTATTTTTATAACCTGATTGCTTTGAAAGATAGAATGAATATAAAATATATGAAAATCTAATTACATCTAAATCTTACTGACTTAAAATTAGCTCTTAAATATAATTTTCTCTCTAAAGACTATTTGTTATTAGAGTTGCATACATTACATAGATTAAATTAGAAGCTACATAGTTTCATTGCTCAAATATAGGCAATTCAATAAATATTTCAAAAAGTGTAAACAAATCCTTAAGAATTGTGGGCCAAGACTTATTTTAAGACTGAAAAATTGAGTTATTTTATCACTCGCTGATAGATGATTGAGAAATGATGAATTACTTAAACATTGATTAGTTATTTATTTATTACTACTTGGGTGACTTAGTAAACTTGATTTTTATGAAAAATTTAATATATTTTTTCGGCTTCTTCTGAGTTTTGCCTTTCACTAATTAGTAGAGATTAGATTCCATCCAAGCATTTTCACTTTATTGAGAAGTTATTTATTTATTTCTATCGTAATTGAATTATAATATTAGACAACATAAATTAAATAAAAATTGCTTGAACTAGATTTAAAGATATCATTCAATTTTCTTCTTCTTCAACAATAAATAATACTAATTACCTTAATAAATAATCATTAAGAGTATTATTTACCCTGAGCAAACCATAACAGCATCAAAATAAGACACATCTTCTTTGTTTGTTGTTAAGTCTTCTACTGTAACACTCCAACCTTTTCCAACTGGAGCAACTCTTTTTACTTGATGTTTTATCTAAAATCATAAGTGTATATTCTTAAAATATTTGCTTGTTATAAGCAGTAAAGGATCCAGAGAGCTATTTTTCTTTTCTTTTTTTTTTTTTGTTCATTTTCTCCCTACGTAATGAATGACAATTTCTCCCTTGAATTTTCTAGTAATTTTTGTCTGTCCAGTTCATACAAAATTAGCATATAATTTTGAATAACTTTAAATTTCATTATCTCTATTGGCAGTCTTCCAAACTGGTAAGTATTTTAAACTATTCAAAAATATTTTTATTTAAAATAAATTTCCAATAAGTGATATATCAAATGAAAAATTTTATTTTATTTATATAAATGTTAATAACTGAAAATAACTTAGAAAATAATTAATTATCAAGTAGTTTGGTTTTGAGGATCCCTAACAGAAAAAAAAATAACATCTTTTATTACAAATTAAAAAAAAAATATTGTTTCATAATTTTTATTTATAACTCTCATTGTGTCTATTATTTTTAATGATCAGTTGATTAATTAGTTGTATAAATTTATGTTCCACATCAGGCAGTCCTGAAAATAAATCTAGTAAATAAAAAATATATGTATATTTTTTCATGTTTTATGTTTATGCTCATTTATCAATTGTTACTCATTAGATAAAATTTATTAAATAAACCCAAAAAGAAAAAAATCCACTGAAAAAAAAAGTTTTCATCTGGTTGAAGTAAAATTTCTTTTTTTGGGGGGCGAAGGGTAAGTGGACTTCCTTACTTGAACTGGTATTTCACTAAGTGATTTTTAATATTTAAAGATATATTATAGTTATCATCAAGGATATGTTACATATAGAATAGATTTATTGATTTACCTTGATTGCCGGATGCAAATTGAAGTGATCTGCATAGTCAACCAAGTACTGTAAAATTTTTTCTGAGGGTAAATATGAGGTGCCATCGTCAGGATAATCAAAATCTGGAAAACGCATAGCTTCCTTTGGTAAATTGGTCCTGAAATATAAATTAACTTGCTTTGGTATCTTTAAATGTAAATAAAATTATTTTGGTATCTTTATGCATATTTATTGTTTTTTAATAATAGCCTTCCTCAATTACAATTCCAACTCAAAAGTTTTTATAGTAAAATTAAAAAAAAAACATGGCAAACGTAAATATCATAAAATTAATTCGGTCACGAATTTTTCAAAACAGTATAATGGTGTAGTAAGTGGATTTTTCTGGCTTAAAATCATTCAATAATCTGATTGATAAACAATATAATTCAAATTCATTTTTCAAAAATACATTGCATAATACAATTAGGAATTTTAAGGCGTGCAGTATTCAAATGGCACATAGTCATTTGGTGGATGATACTTTACTTGAAAGCTCCAAGCATTTTTACTAGAAAATGATTTTTCAGGAAGGCTTTCTGAAGAAATAAATTGGATAAATAAAAAGTAATGACGTAATAGTTAATTTAACGAAGTCCCTTTAGAATAACAAAAAAGTACAAAATTAAAATATTATATCTGACCAAATAAAATCAAACATAAAAAGTAAAAATAAAGATAAATAAGTAAAGAAAATATTAGTTATACTTACTATATACAAAATAAAATTTTAAAAATCTATATACAAAACTCTTGAACCATGCCAAGACACTTAAAATTTATGTACAATGGTAAAATATAAATATTCACTTTTAGAAAAAATACATTACATTCTTCTTAGCAGTAAACTCTTTGTTTCTGTTGAAAAAAAGAAAGTCGAATCTGATAGTGAGTATTTAAGTGATGGGCTATATGTAAATACATCATTATGAATAATATGTAATTTTACATAAAAGGTAGCGGGTATCTGACTGTTTTTGGGACAGGAATTGGAATAGGAGGACTTTGAATGTAGATAGGGATGAAGAATGCCGAATTTTGATTGGAAGGGAATTCCAAAAATTAACAGAGCGAGCAATAAAGGAGTTTTGGAATGAGGCAGATCTGTGAGAAGGAATGTAAAGGTCGGAAGGTCGAGATCTTGTGGAAAGGGAGTGGATTGAGGACTTGAATTGGAGAAGGTTGTAGGCGTAAGAAGGACGATGATTTGATAGAGGAACATACCTAAGAAATATTGTCTTCGAATGGAGGGGAAGAACCACTTTAACTCAGTGCAGTGGTGAGAGACATGGGAGTATCTCAGAACACCAATTACAAATCTCACACAACTGTTCATTAGTCTTTTCAGTCTGTCGCGGAGCTCCACCGAGAGTCCATCATACACCACACAGCTGTAGTCAAAGTGGGGGAAGATGATAGAGGAAACCAGGAGTCTTCGCATATGTTGAGGTAGGAGATGGCGGAAGCGATGGAATAGTTTGAGGGTAGAAATTGTTCGTCGGGAGAAATATATTGATTCCAGGAAAAGGTTTGATCAATGAATAGTCCTAAATTTTTGACAGTGGAGTAGAAGGAGATTGGCTGGTCACCAAGGTTTAGTATGGGAAAGTCGGTATAGGATCTAAGGAGGGGTTTGGACCCAATGACAATGGCCTGAGTTTTAGCAGCATTTAATCTTAATCCGTTTATGTTTGACCAGGCACAGTGAGGAGAAGTTTCTTAATTATTTCTAATCATTGTGTTTAATTTTTAAAGTATTACTCATATATGCTAAGTTCGCCCCTAGGGATCTTAGAGCAAAAGCGCTGATATGATAGGCTTCATATTACAGTCATACTAATTCTTACTATAAAAAGCTTGATACCAATACTCACCAGAGGTCGTGATAGAGACTGGAGTGAAGCGGGTAGGGGTGGCTGCCGGTGGAGGCGGGCTCCTCGCAGTAGACCCAGGTGCCGCCGATGTCGGGGCACTGCTCGTACACTTCCACCCTGAAGCCCCGGCTGACGAGGTGCCGCGCGGCGCACAGCCCGGCCGGGCCGGCGCCGACCACGGCCACGCGCAGCTCGGACGGTTCGGCCTGGAAGCGCGGCTCGGCCACCTGGCTCAGCACAGCGTTCGCGTCCTCGAGAATGCTCGTGATGTCCCGTTCGGCCACAAAGCCCGAGCTCCTCCTCCGCACGTCCAGTGGTTCCACGATTCGCACTTCCTTCTTGATCTCTTTACATTCTATCGCTTCCACATCCCTACCGTCCTCTTTCCTGACCACCACCGTCGGATAGAGAGAATTGTCTGTTTTTTTCGTCTCACTTTGAGAGTTTTTGATATCGTCTCTTTCAGTTTTGGGGGATGCGTTTTCTGTTTCTGTATAAGGTTCGTCCACCTCTTTCTTGTTCTCTTCAGCTTCATTACATACGACTTCTTCGGAAGTAGCCTTCTCTTGCTCATTCTCGATAAATGAGTTATTTTCATTTTGAACCTTGATTTCGTCTTTATTTTTCTCTTTTATATCTAATGTAGTTTCTTCATTAGGATCTGATTGAATTTCTTCATCTTTTTGATCTTTCGCAGCCTCTTCGGCTAAATCATTTTCAATAGCGACTGCTTCGGATTGAACAATTTTTTCGATATCGAGGTTGCACGTGTCGTTGGAGGAGTCTACCCTTTCGTTGAGCTTTAGAGATGCCTGAAAACTTTCTGAGAAGGATTGTATCTTTTCTGTTACTAGACTTGTCTTTATAGAGCACATCTCCTCGGTTATTTCTGTTTTCTCCTCCACGGTCCTGACACATTGCACATCACTGAGACAAGACTCGGTGGACTTGACGATGCTCTCTGCCCCCCTGCTCTCGACATCGGTCTTGAAGTACTGCTCGGTGAAGCTCTCCATCGGCTTGACTTCGGCGGGCTGTGGCCTCACAGGTGCTGCGCACAGCTCCATGTCTTCCTCTTTACTGTCCTTGTTTTCGCCGCTTTTATCGCTGTAAAAATAAAAACTAATAAATAACTAAAAATTATTTTAACACTTATGTTAGTTTTAAAAAACAAATATATATATTCATATGAATGTATATTCATCTGGTCGTAGTAAAATGACAGAAAGTAGGGCATAAACCTTTTATTTTTTTCTTATCAGCCAAGGTCATAGCATTTTAAAACCGGTTTGTCACCAAGCGATGAAGCTGAATGGTTTTTTTTTTTGTTTGAAAGAGCAATCTTATAAACATTCTGGTTCGAATATAACCACTTAGGTACAACTTTTATTTTATAAAAGTTTTTATTTATCCTAGGGTATCACATGTGACTCACAATCAGTTGTAGATGGTCTAAATAACATGATAAAAACACTATTTCAAGTGAGAAATATTGATTACAAACTACATAAAGAGGAAATATGTATTATTTATTAGTATTCATCACAACCGACCAATTTGAAATTAAATTGGGAACATGAAGAATATTTAATATTATTAGTGGATTATTGAAGATAGATCTAATCCGTTTGATTGTAATAAATGACTAATGTTTGCTTAGTGACCTTATTAAAAGGGTCTATGAATAGTTGATAGTCATCCATTTTAAATTATTCTAATGAACTGTCTGAACTCGGATTGTAAATTCCAACAGTAACGACTACTAATCTCTATTCATCGTTTAATTACTTAATGGTTGATTTAATGAGTAAACGAAGTCTGTTTAATTTATCTGTATCTAGAAATTACTGTTTAATATATTTGTTATGCATCTTATATTGTAAATATTTATAATAAAAAAAACGCGGATTTGTAATGACTTCAATCCTGAGATAAGTACCACCAAAATCCAAAGTATATTTGTAATTGTATACAATGGAAGATTTATGTATTTATATTAAAATCTAAGTGTTGTAAAATGCAATTCTGATCATCCATTTTGAGGAAAAAACTGTTTTATTTTTAAAAATATATATTTGCTATTACCATATGGTAAAGAAAAATATATTTTTTTTGCACTACAATCAGCAGATGTGCTGGCGTAGTAACCAGAGAAAAAAAAAAAAATAAATAAAAAGGCTTGATAGGCATGAGGAATAGCAATACCCAGCGGTATCCCTTCCATGGCTTTTATTTATTAAAACATTATTTAAGCAGATCCCTCATCCAGACCCTTTTTAGTCGTCTTCTGGAGTTCTCGGGCGTACTAAAGTATATTTATTTATTTGGTAGTTCATACATAGTTAATATATTTTTCGAAGTAACAAAACTCCAGACCTTTCTCAATTTCCAATTCAATTTGGTGCTACCTTCACCATCGTAACGTTTTATCTTGGATATTGGAATCCAAGAATCATATATATATAAAAAAAAAAGAAAGAAAACATACTAATATTAAGTTATAATATACTGAGCATTGCATTTACATACAAAAAGCAGCTGCGTCGATAAAAGTATAAAAGAAAAATATACATACATTCATATACATACATAAAATACACACTATATATAAAGTAATTTTAAAAACCACGGAGGTAGCAATCCCTCCGCAATATAAGTCATAAAAAAGTAGTACTATAGTACATATCTAAATAAATAAAAAAAAAAAAATAAAATAAAAATAAATAAATAAAAATAAATAACTAAAATAAAATAAATAAATAAAATAAGAAAAAAAATAATAATAAAAAAAGTAAATAAATAAACATAAAATTAAAAGAATAAAAATGAAATAAATAAATAGATAAATAAAATAAAAAATAAAGATAAATAAAACAAAACGTAAAAATGTAAATTATGACATCGATATAATCATTGAGTATCATGCTATAAACGAGGAAGCAGCCTGAACCAATTACTGTAATTCATGTGGGACCCTTTAAGGACTCTTATTGTAATAGCGTTCATCGTTCTCTTGGGAATTCCCAACATATCCATGTCTTGGAAAGATCTTCGGCACCATATTCCTCTCCAAGTTATTGTGAGCGGCAGTACTTTTATGTCCACGCCTGGCACTCCCAGTGTACGCCCGATCGCCATCCTGCAATCTAGGTCCCTATATTTATTGGCTTTGACATTGTTCCAGTGAGTGGTGCTAGGGTTATCCCCGACGACCTGTGCATCTATAATGAAGTGTCCGCTTAGTCCTGAGCACACCAGGTCTGGCTTCCACCTTCGTCTATTACCAACAAACATTTGCTCCTTTGTGACCCTGTATCCTTTTTTTTGGAGAGCAATTTCCAACATGTTCACTATTGTATCATGCCGGCGCACTCTACCACCGTGAGACAAAATGCAATGTTGAATAATATGGCTGGCAGTTTCGCTTGCAGGACACCCAGCTCTGCATTGGGTCGGCATAAAAGCCCTACGTCCTCTGGATAATCTCACTCGGGTCGCGAGGGCATTTATATGAGTTCTTACCGTCTGTATGAAGGTCCGTCCGGTTATCGGAGCCGCGTAGTCTGTCAACCAATGAGTTGATGGGTGGCAGTTTTTTGACTCCCTTAATGCCTTACCATCAACGCTACGATATAACTTCATGGACAGCGTTTTCTTTCGTTCTTCACTGGAAGTGTTTTCCGCGTTGAGGCCCATTTTCGTGAGGTTGCTTGTGAGTTTTCTCATTTCCTTAGTGATAAAGGAGGAATGATAGGCGGCTCTTGCTACTGGGCAACCAGAGTACTCCATACGTCGTAACCTCGCGAGCTTGAGTGAGGGTATAGCACTGCTAAAGCTCATTACTCCCAAACCACCATCAGTACAAGCAGAATGGAAATACTGAGTAGGGGTATCCTGAGGCAGTCGCAGCCAGGAACGTACTGCCGCTCTCGTTGAGATATCCAACTTTCTCAACTCGTTCATTTTGCTTGGGCTCAGTGTGAGGAGATGAATGAATTTCGGGATGAGATAAGTTCTCAAAGTCACTAATTTTTGTTGGGGTTTTAGGGGTGCAGTGTTTGTTTTGTGCAGCAATAATGATAATTCATCGATAATCCCTTCGGCATTCATGTTGTTCAACGAAAATTTCGCTCCTAGGTATTTCCAGCAATCCAAGATACCCAACTGCTTGATTCTAGCGCCATTTACTACGAAATGATATCTGTTATCAACCTTCATAACATTAGAATTGACGGCCTTGACGAGAGAAAAGCTAAAGCATTTGGCTGGGTTGGATTCCATTCCCAGATCTTGAATAGCTGCAGCTGCGTCCGATAGTAATCTTTTCATGCCTTTCGATGAGGATGTGATTAAGACTAGGTCGTCTGCAAATGCCAGGCAGTTTACCATTGTTCCTCCCATATCGTAGCCTATTCCATCTGGAAGGGAATGGATTACCCAATCCATTGCCATGTTAAAGAGACTAGGGGATAATGGGTCACCCTGCCTTATACCTCTTCCGCATACAATAGGATCCGTATGCTGCTTTTTGTCTGTAATGCGGGTATAACATTTGCTATATAGCCCCTTCATGTAACCAATAAGTCCAGCTGGCATACCCTTCCATTCTAAGATTCTATAAAGTGCATTATGGCTCAGATTATCAAAAGCTTTGGCAATATCCATAAACGTTACATGGATTTCCTTCTTTCTCATTTTAGAGTCGTCTATTATTGACTGTAATGAGAATATATTTTCTGCAGTGCCATCGGAAGCAATAAACGCTCGCTGGTTTACATGATGCAAATCCATTTCGTTTAGACGAGTTGCAATTATCTTGTGCATTTGTCTAAGAGGGACTGAAGCAACTGTGATGGGTCTATATTCACAAGGACCAGCGGGATCATCCGTTTTCGGAATGAATATAGTCCGGGCCGCAGTTAACTTTGGTAAGTGGGGTGGGTTGGACAGATATATATTATAAAATATGGCCCTATGTAAGGGGGCAACAGATTCCCACTGCTTTACAGTGATACCATCGGGTCCCGCTGATGATTTTTTGTCCATAGCGTTTAATTTGACTTCATCAACTGTAACTGGCAGCCATAATGTAAACAACTTCTGATGCGGAATTGGCGTATCCGGCACATTGGGACATGATGCTCTCTCCATCAGCGGCCTCCAGAAAGATTCGAGTTGCTCAATATTGTGCTTGTTACGGGCTGTGGTACCGTTGAACACTTCGCAAACCGCTTTCTTCCTATCTCTTGTCCATAATTTTTGAATCTTCTTGAACTGCTCCCTTCTTCTGACAGTAGAATTAGCGGGCAATGATCTTTCACCAGATTCATTTGAAATGTTGCTTTTCACATTCACCACTGAATCGAGCCATGCGTTAAGAGATTCCGAAATGTCTTCCTCCTCCTCTGCAATCTCCAAAAGTGAAGCCAATACTGAATTAGGATCAGTTATCTCCTGGCATAAGTTTCTGGCTGCTTTCAGAAATTCCTGCTTATCCGTGGTGCCATTATTTATGGCAACAGCTGGGTTAGGATCTGCGGCTTCATCGTTACGTCCTTCCATGACTCTCTGAAGGAGATCCTGGTATTGTTCTTTTGTTCTAGCCTTTCGTATACTCCATATAGACCTACCGGGTTGCATATCGACAAGGTCCCGAATCCTTACATTTCCTCCTTGAGCGATCAGTGATGCTTCATTCAGAGCTAGTAATTGAAGCTCCTCTCTAGTCCAACGCTCCTTCTTCCGATCCGTGTTAATATTATCATTGAAGAAGACGGGGTGAGCACGCTTGATGTGAAGACCCATACCCGAACGAGTGCCAAAATTCCTGTCGCAGCGGGGACATTGATTAACGTTGTCGTCCATAGTCAGTGAGATTCATGAACCATTTAATTGCCTCACTCCGACTTGGGCATCGAAAAAACGACGATCTATGTTTCAGCTGACAATTCGCGCATTTTGGTGGCTGGTCTAAACTTGGACAATTCCCTACTTTATGTCCATGAGCACCACAGTGACAGCACCGTTCCTCGTGCTTACACTTAGACTGCACATGCCCAAATCTTTGACAACGAAAGCACCTTGTCACATCTTTAAAGTCCTCACCTTTACAAATATCTAAATTTAAGTATAAGTGTCCTCTGGATACGAGCATATTTCTTAAGCGTGGGCTGACTTCCAGGACCATGTTGACTCTCGGTTCCGATCTTCTACCAGTGTAAAATGCAAGCTTGCACTCTTCAGGGTGGCCTAGTTCAATTTCTTCATTTTGAGCCAAGATACATTCGATCAGTTCTACGATTGTAAATTCTGCGTCTTCTACTTTCCTGGGTACGCCTTTTATAATTACGCGTGGATTCCTTAGCTTAATTGTTTCGGATACCTTGCCGAGTTTCGATATATCTGGGTCTTTAAGTAAAGCTTTCTTATCGGAATCTCTCCCCGCTATAACTACTAAGCCTGTTTGTTTGGTATTGAAAATTTTATCAATTTGTAGACATTTGCTCTTAGGCCGAAGAGCTAGCTTTATTTGGGATTTAAATTCCTCCACGTCTTTAAATTTTCCATTAGGATCAGGAGTAATAGAAATAGCATTGGACATCCGGAAATCGTTTATTAGTGGTATTTTACAGGAGGCATAATTGTTCGTATTATTGCTATCGTTATTTCCAATGAGTCCATCAATTGACTCGTTTGGGCTGTTACTAATTTCATTCTTACTTATTGCGTTTTCATTACCTAATATTTTTTTAGTATTTCTGTAAATTTTATTATTTGTTTTAATAACATCTGATAAATTTTCTTCTAATCTTATTAAACTTTCAGCATTTAAGGAGTCATTTTCTGAAACACATTTGATTTGATTTTTAAGCCCTTCCAACTCACCCATTTTTAAGGTACATGCTAAGCTTAAGTGGGAAACTATTAAAGACAAGGCATCCAGACACGCTGTGATTTCCTTTACCGCCCCAGGTTTAATACTGTTAGTTTTCTTTTTCAAAACTCCTCTAATCTTCCTCTCATTTTCCGCGCCCATAGTTAAAAGCTTGACTGGGTCCAGGTCAGCTTTTTCAATATCAGTGAGTTTATTCGATAATAAAGATTGATTCTCATACACATCTTTAATCGTTCCAGCGTAGTCCAAATGTAGCTTAATAGGAGAGTGAGTGTCCGGTTGTTTAATTATATCTGACGAACCATGATCCATCACAATAGGATCACTTAATTCATTTCCATTTTCCAAACTTTCTTCAGTGGGTAGCAGTACTTCATTGGGTTCGATCGTGTGAAGCCGTATCTTTTTGGAATTGTTACTAATTCGACCTTTCTTCGCTTCCATATTTCACTTATGAAAGAACAATAATTTAATGATAAATAGATAGACAAACACAAAAAAAAAAAAAAAAAAAAAAAAAGAAATAAAAAAAATAAAAAAAAATAAATATATAAATACAATAAAATAAAATAAAATAATAAAAAGACAATAATTAAATAAATAACAATTAACTATATAGTTAATTCGAAATGTAAAAATAATAATAATTCTGGATCACTCAATAGATTTAAAACCAACAATAATACATTTTTTAACTATAAACGACGAGATAAAAATATATAACCATATGCGATAAAACAATATAACCAGTAGTTAAAGAAACATAAATGTAATAATAGTTCTAAGTTTAATTATTAACAATAACAAACAAGACTTATTTCGCACTATGTGTTTGTCGAGATAAATTCTACAAATGTCAAGTAAAAAGTAATATTTACTAGCTGAAACAATAGACTAAAGAATAAATAGAGGTTAAAACAATGCTTTAAATAGATTTAATCTATTCTAAGTTGTCCTGCGTGGTTAAAAAGATAAAAAAAAAAATATGACGACGTTTGTTAAAAAGTGTAATTTTAACAAATAGACAATTACCAAGATTATTAACGAAGGTAGCACCGATCCGTAAAAATAGAATACAAAAATATTAAAAAGCGCGTAATACAACAGTGTTTAATAGAATTCTATTTAATTTTACTATTGTATATTTAAATATTCTACCAAAGATATGATATATTAATAGTCCAGCCGGTCCGGCCGTCACAACAAAGGATGAGACTATGTTTGCTTAATATACCAGAATGTAGACTGTTTACCAGAGGGTCGTCGTAATCCTGCAGCTTTGCAAACCAGCAGTTGGTATTAGCAATTGTTTACCATCAGAGTTCTTGTCAATGGGAATCCCCTCCACGGCATCAGCTCTGGTGGCTCCTCCAATGGCTGCCTTCTCGTCTAAGTTAAGATTTCAAATAACTTCGAAGTCAATCGTCCGAATTTGACGAAATTTTAGAAACTAATACTTCAATATACTAACTAGATATTTTAGTAATTTAAAACTCAATGAAACTTGGAAGTTAAGAATAAAACTAATTGAAGTACAGACACGATCTGTTCACTAAGACCGAACAGGCTAGACTGAATCAGATCCCTCATCCAGACCCTTTTTAGTCGTCTTCTGGAGTTCTCGGGCGTACTAGTTGTGGTCATTTCTTTTACCAGCTGGTTGGAGTGCTCGTTTAACATGTTATGAAATCCTTTGTAGTACGTTCGTATGTGTTCGTTGACTGTCGGAACGTGTAAGTCGGTGTGTAAAGAGTGATTGTTTACGTACCATGGTGCTTGAGTGATTAGTCGTAGTATCTTAGTCTGAAAAGTTTGAAGTTTTTTTATGTGAGTTGGTTTTGCAATTCCGTATATTTGTAGTCCGTAAGTCCAAAGAGGTTTTAAAAGATATGTGTAAATACTTAGTTTCTGCCTTGTTTTCAATTTGGAATGTCGTCTTAACAGTGAATGTAACAATTTTAGTCTTAGATTTAATGAAAGAAAAACATAAAATTGAAATAAAATTATCAAATGTACTTTCTTATTTTCATATTACGATTATTATATTATTCTATTATTATTCACAGTTGTAAATTTGAGTCAAGATTTGAATCAATCAAAGTAAGTTATATTTTTGTACCTTGTGGTGTATTAAGAATTTCTAATTAGGTTTAGAATTTCTGCTTTAAAACATTAGTTTCCAAAATTTTCACAGAGGGATTAAGGCAGTAAATTGATTACATAAACAGTGCCTACTTAATCGTTTTTATGTTACCAATTAATTCAATTTATATTTTTTTAAACTATGTTTTTCTTGGATTAAAACATAATCCGACTAATTAGCAATGTACAAAACAATTTTGATAATTTTATCTATATTATTATAATAGATTATAATTTTATAAAACCAAAATAAATAATTGTTGATTCTTTACTGGTGGGGTTGTCAAATAGTAATATAGTAAGAAATCGATAATACTCTCCCTATGCTAATATAATACTCTAAGAAATGCTTCATTCATCTAATTGGGTTTATCAATTGATTGTTAACAAATGTGTTTAAGTAGATCAATTAAGAATAATGGAGAAATCTTGCCACGCACACATGATGTATAGTATTAAGCTGACGGAATGTGCCCTTAATCATGAATTATTTGTATGATTGACACGGGTGGACAAGTGAACTGGATGCTTATGACCAGTATGATATTTCCTGGAAGATCCATATTTATAGCATGACAACTAGTTTGAATCTTAACTATTTGAGAAGAAATACTCATATGTTGAATGGTATGTTCAAAACCGAATTATGTACGATATACATATGCGAGATTTATTCGCATACATGCTTTAAGGATCACTCTGAAACTACAAATCAACTGAGATTTCTAAATTATACTGAAGAACTACAAATTGATTAAACTGGCAAATTTCAATACAATGCATTAATTTTTTCCATCAATTTATACGCATATGTATTTATTTATATATGTATCTCTATTTAAATAAAAATAAACATTTTGCCGATCCGGCCTAGGCATTTTTTTTAGTACATATCATGATCTGTAACACGCCTCTCTGTGTCTTCCTCTCCTTTTAACTCTCTGGGGGGTCTCAATCAAACCTGAGTGAAAAGTATTTGAAAATACAAAGTATTTTGTTTTTCTAAAACATAATTTTATTCACCACCAAGTATTTCAATTACTACTAATTCTTAAATTACTTCTCTAAATTATTTAATTTAATAAGTATTTGGATTTAAAATACAAAATATTTTTCTGTTAACAATTTAAATATTTGGTGGTTCAAAGGGTACTTTAGAAACACAAAATACTTGATATTTTAAACACCGTATTTTAAATAATTTTTTACCCAGTTCTGCTCTCAGTGTATACGAGTATTATGCAATCACATCATTAGATTTTCTTAATGTTTCTACCCACTTTCATTTCTTGTTTGTTATTTGAGATGGGTAGTACGTTGTTCTCAGTTTCGAAATATCCGTAATTCTAGACCAAAAGTAATTTTCCACATTAAATTTTGGAAAAAATAATATATTATATAGGGAACACTTTATATAACCTCGACTTATTGATAAAGGATAGAATAGAAAATTGAACTTTATTCTGGGACTAAACCCACTTAGAATAACAATGATGAATTGATACAAAGGAGAATACAAATATACATATGTATTATTTATACTTATAGTAAGAATATACATGGATACATGATTTTCTGATGATGACATATGATTTAGTTTGCGTCTTGAAAAACAAGATCAAATAGTTTTAGAACATAAAAGTTCGTGTAAATGCGCCAATTGAGAAATTGCAATGACTATTTAATCAAAAATACAAAAAAGGGAAATTAGTATTATGTTAGTTTTATTGAAAAATTGACATACATAAAAAACTAATGTAATCAAGAGAAATGATTCGTTTTCCAACAATAAAAGGACATCTACACCACTTTTGCTTAAACTTACAACTACACTATCTTATCTTAAATAACATTCGATCAATATTTATTCGCAAGAAGAGGCTATGCTCAATTTTTAATGAAGCTTTATTTTTAATAACATTATTTTACGATTTGAACCAGTAACGGTATCTATCAATAAAAGCTAGGTATCAATCAGGTGGTTTAAGATATCAATTAAATATTTCGATACACTTAAATTTCAGCCTCCCGTTGTCTCCTTCGGATGATGATTTCACCCATCCTTCATCAGGCCTCATCAATACACAGCAGAGGCCGCGGGCCACCAAGGACGACGGTTTACGGGGCGATTACGGAACGCTATGGTCGACAGTGTCGAAGAAGATGTTTATTCCGCTGCCACCGGGGGAGTGACAGTAGCGTATCTGAATATCAAGCAGGAATCGACGCTGAGAAAGGTTAGCGCTGAGCGCCATGTCTCGCTTTGGGAGCAGTTGGCGAATGTGTCATCAACTCTGGTGGGATTGTTCGAATCCGCACGAATAATATTAATGACATTTAAAAAAAAAAAAGGTGTTAAGATCATATATTGGTATGACACCTTTGAAGGCCAACCACACGATCGTTGGTTTAAACATCATTGCAAAATATGAATGTATGAATAAATAAAATGTAGCTCCATTTTTATTTATTTATTAGTTTGCCCAAAAGCGAGATCAAGACGAGTCTTGGTCTTGCGCAAGAGTCTCGCAACAGTTTCGCAGTTACTTATTAGCTTATTACTATAGAGATATTACTGATTTTTTTTTTTTAATTTGAAAACCTAACTAAGCCCGAATGAAAAATTAGATGAGTATGTACTAAGTAAAGTATATTGGTTATATCGATTCTTTACATATAGTAACTAAAATTGTCAAGTATTATAAACTATTTTGCCTTATTTTTTATTCAAAAAATCGATTTTAACGGTCTTGGTCTTGCAACAGTAAGGCGGTCTTGCACTTTGTGAATACGTGTTAAATTAAAATTTAAGACAACTACATTTTAGTTGCGTAAGTAGACATAAATTTCGTCTTGTTTTATGAGGTTCTTGTTATTCAATTGTGTAAGAAAAATATTACTGCAAATTGCGTGTCGTATCCATAACCTTGAGCGTTTTTTAGATAACTAATCCCCACAAAACTTTCTCATTTTATTTTTGTTATTAGTAAAGCAACAAAGGGTGCGTACACTAACATTCATTCCATTAAATTAGTCACTAACAATAAATATTACCTTGATGTCATTATTAGAGCCAAACAAATTTTACTTTGATTACTATTTTCGCAAGGTCAAGCAGTGTAACAGTAAACAGTGTAAGTTTGATTTTGCGTTACTTTATGACTTAATTTTTGCTAAAATTTTGAGCAGAGCAATCCATTGTTTCTAATTTAAGGTATATCATTAGGTTTATTAAATGAGAATTAAAAAAATACAAAAAACTTAGATATAATTCAGGAAATTCAGTTATGTAAACGTTTTAC